TTGCAACAAGAATCTTTAACTCTGGTCGGATTAATGACGAGCTGTAAAAACTGATCTGACACCCTGTTTTTGAGTTGGGAGGAAAAGTTAGCGGTGTCGTGGTTTTTTTTAGGATTATTTTTCCCCCCCGAGTTTCACTAAAAACAGAAAACATCCAACAGTCTTTGGGTGTTTTGAAGTGTCAGACACGTTCATGTTTCCACCGCCATGATGGGAATAATAATTGTGCTTTAGGTTCTGCTGTTTACCTGAGTGCCTGTCTGTAAAAATATGTAAAATATTTGTACTTTTCCTCCATCAAAAGCTAGAAGTGTCACATCCCATCAGTCTGCACAGAATTTTGATCACCTGCTTTGAGTTTTAACATTTATATTCAGTTTCGTTCCATTGTTCCATTGGTTGTGTTTCAGTTTAAATCTTCATCATTCTGTCTGTTTTTCTTGTTTGTGTCAAACATTGTATTCAAAATCTATATTCAGATCATTTTAGGAAGAAAGTTATAAGAAATAAATTGATTAAAGTTTCAGGGATCGTTAAAGGCAACAATCCTGCCGTCAGACTGAATCTTTAAATTTGGATTAAACCCCTCCTGATGTTTCTATAACAGCTGGACAACCAACCATCTGATGCCAGTTATAAAACTCATATCTCAGACGGGACAGCCAGGCAGAGCCAGGTCCACCTTTCTGACCCACCTCTGGATTTGGAGTCCAGTTTGCGAGGAGAATCCTCGGGGTGAGGCGAGTGCAGAGCTGGAAATCCCAGATGTGAGCGCGCGCAGTCTGTGCAGCTGGATTAAAATTCTGAACATCAAATTGTCTTATGTAACGGGCTGTAATGCTGACAGCAGCAGCAACGATTATACAATCCTGACCAAAGCAGGAGACACTCCTGCACGTGGGCGTGCACGCTCACTCATGAGAAACCAAACTGCATTCAGGATCCGGTCTTGATCCTGTCGCCAGCCTGCTGTTGGGTTGTTGTTGTTGTTATTGTTGTTTTCAACTGGTGGAAATCTATTTTTAATACCTCACATTTATAATATGTATATGATTCTGATCTGATTTTTTTTAAATACAATAAATTGTTTTTTTTTTTATCAGATCAGAACTTTGCTGATTAAAAAGCTGCTGTCATCGCTGCTCAGTGAGAATGTTTTGAGTCAAAACTGAATCGTTCTCTGAGGTTCTCCCTAAGTTTCATCTTTTTTATCTACAGAAATCACATCAGTCATCTGCAGAGAAAACATTTAAAATTTGTTACAGTGATGAAAAAACAAGATGGCATGAGTTCTGTTATGAAATTAGATAGAAAATAGGCCAGATGTGCTAATTTCTAGCACAGATCAGGTGAGCTGATAAAGGTCAGGTGTGACAATTTGTAACAGAAATCGGGTGTGCCGACTGGTAACAAAGGTCAGATGTGTCAATTGAAAGCAAATGTCAGGTGTGGCAATTAGTAACAAAAGTCACTTGTGCTAATTGGTAAAAAAAAAAAAAAAAAAAAGTCTGGGTGTGCTGATCAGTAATAAAGGTCTACCACAGATCAGGTGAGCTGATAAAGATCAGGTGTGTCATCCATATCAAAGGTCAGGTGTGACAATCTGTTACAGAGATCAGTTGTGCTTATTGGTAATTAAGGTCAGGTGTGCTGATCAGTAACTAAGATCCACTGTGCCAATCAGTAAAGAAAGGTCAGGTGTGGTAACAAAGATCAACTGTGCCAATCAGGAACAAAGGTCAGGTGTGCCGATCAGTAACAAAAGTCAATTGTGCTAATTGGTTAAAAAAAAAAATGCTGGGTGTACTGATGAATTATAAAGGTTAGGTGTGCCAATCAGTAACTAAGGTCAGGTGTGCCGCTTGATAACAAATGTCAGGTGTGATGATCAGTAACAAAAGTCAATTGTGCTGATCAGTAATAAAGGCTGGGTGTGTTGATTGGTAGCAAAGTCATATGTACTGATTGATAAGAAATGTCATGTGTGATGATCAGTAATAAAGATCAGCTATGCCAATTAGTAACTAAAGTCAGGTGTGCTGATCAGTAACAAAAGTCAAGTGTGATGTCAAAACATTGTGATGAAAAACTTTTCCTGCTAACATGAATGGATTACTGCGGTGCTTTGAAACAACTTACCAGCATTTCTTCAATATTTGAGTCCAATGAGGCCAAACTGAGATGGTTTGGGCATGTCCAGAGGAGGGACGGTGTGTATATTGATAGGATGTTGAAAAACATCTGCCAGGAAAAAGACAAAGATGAGATACAGTATATGGATGCAGTTAGAGAACATTAGATGTAGCATCCGATCCCCTAAGAACCCTTTGACTGAATCACTGTAAGTCATATCTAAACATCTGGTTCTGGTTCCGAGTAGATTCAGATGACATAATTGTTGGTTTGTTGAGGACAGAGGGCTTAACCCCCCGCCCCCCTGAATCTGACAGAACTGATCCGTCCGCTGATCCTGTCTGTTGTTGCAGCAGAATTATCTTCTTACCACAAAAAGCCCTCGTTTCACTGAAACGCTGCACTGGATTCTGAACGGATGCTCGTTTTTCCAGCAGAGAGCAGGAGAAGACCCGGTTTCTGTGACCCGTCAGGTAAATCGGATCCGGCTGAGAGATTCTCTGGTTTATGATGGTAAACATGAGACTGATTTGAACAAGTTTTAAGGTATTAAAATAAAAACTGAAGCTTCTGTTTGTGTCCTGCTGAGCGTGTTTCGTCACAGTTTATTATTTGCTGCAAGCAGTCAGGTTACACTTTGACTTATTCGGTCATGAGAACCAATTTCAGGTTAATTCAGGATTACTATCACCATCACATGTGACACATTTAAACACTTTAATCCAGGAAACTAAAAATAACTACATTGATGTGCAGATGTTCTAAAATCAAATGATTCATTTTCAGCTGTTAACAAGAGATGCTGCCTGTTTTAACTGTCTATAAATATGAATATATATATATATATATATATACATATCAGTCAGAACATATAGGGTTTATTAGATTACTTTAATTATAATTTTTTTCTTTTTATTGACAGGTTTTAACTTATTTTTAATGAAAATATGTCACCACAGCCAACCAAAACTGTTTAAAAGACCATCAATAAAAATGCCAAAAACATTTCACTACAATATTACAAGACAACACAAAAAGATAATATGAATAAAATAAATTGTGGTGGAACTGTGATGTTCTCTGAGGGGCATTTAGGAGTCTGATGTGAGTGCTAAGATTGAACTAAAATGGACATTAGAGTTAAACTTCTCTGTGTGCTTTTTAATAATTGATATTATAATCACGGGGAAAATTTGTTCACATGGATTAACACAAATTATTAAACAGTTTGCATGGAGAGTGGAAGATTAAATAAGCAGAACAGCCCAATTTATTTTTCACCACCTCAAAGTTTGACTCTTTTCCTCTCAACTCAAATGGATAAACAGAAGGTTAAAATGTTTTAAGTTATCAAATCAGCGAGTGAACTCAGCTTTACGTCTGTACCGTTTTAAATAAATGTGGAAAAAGACTCTTCCTATTTTCACCTGCGTCAGGAGATCACAGGAGGGATGGAGACGCTTGTGATGAGATCTTACAAGTACTGCCTTTGTGAGCTGCTGCCACACAAATTATTTAAAATGGTAGAAACTCTGGTTCTCAAGGCAGATCTTGTGTCATGAGGTCCCGTTTCACCTTTTTTATTACACAATGGGATTCTAAAGAGCACATCTCTGCTTCACGTTCAGGATTATGATCATCATCTAAGATTAAATCTGACCATCAGGCCTAACACTTTTCCTGTGTTTTAGACAAAGTGGTCAGATAATAATGAAAAAACAATATGCCATTGTGTTACTGTAAACTACAAGAAACAATAAAAATATTGACCATCAATTGACACTGAACTTTGTCACTGACATCAAAACCTGCTGCAGACCCGAGTGTGTTAATTGTATCTGTTGCCATGGAGATGGAGACAAGTAGGTTTTCGACATTTGTTACCATAAAAACATAGACGTGTTTACATCACCCATTCATTACTATGGAAACGAGACACACAGATCAACAGCATCTGTTACTATGGAGATAAAAATCAGTGGCTTAACAACATCTGTTTCCATGGAGATAAACGAATGGGTAAACAACATCTGTTATCACAGAAACAAAGAAAGGGGAATTAACAACATCTGTTGCCATGGAGACAAAGACAGACAGGATACAGCACTGGCTGCTATGGATACAAGCACACAGGTGTACAGCATCTGTCATCACAGAGACAGAAACATACATGTATACACCATCTGCTCTTACCACTGAGACAGAAATGAGTGAGTTTACAGCATCTGTTATCACAAAAAACAATTGGGTAAACAACATCTGTTACCATGGAGATGGAGATGTGGTTTTACAGCATTTGTTACTTTGGAGACTGAAACAGGTAAGTTTTTGTCTCTCGTTTCCATAGAAACAGTCAGATGGGTTTACAGCATATATGGAGACACAGTTTTTGTCTGCTGTAGACAAAACACACCTGATCTTCAATCTTCATCTGGTAATTTTCACTAACAGGAGCTCAGCAGAGTAGAATCTAGGTTAAAAGACGGGCAGAAACAGAAGCTGGTACTGATGTGACACTGAACAGGTGAAGCCAGCACAGGAAGCTGAACCAGACATGATAGATTTACAGAATGAGTAACAAAGGCTGAAAACCAGTGAAGGTGGCAGGACATGAACTTACATTTAACAGCACATCTGAAGATGATCATTTATTTTATTAAATTGTTTACAAGTTGTGCTCTTCATCTTTTTAAGGATGAAACAGAATGAAAATTTAAATCCAGTATTTTTTTAATGAGCTGTTTTGACCGTTACATGCAAGCTGGGTCTGTCTTTTGTTCTGTTTGTAGAATGGTTTCAGAGAATCCAACAGTTTTCAGTAGTCCTTTTACCTTTTATTGTTTTTCTCCTGCAGCTGGAGCAGCTGGATGGCAGTGTTCTGCAGGAGGAACTCTCTGACATCTTCTGACATGGAGAACTTGGTGTGCTCGCTCAGTCTCGCCGAGGTAACAAAACTTCTGCAACAGTCCAAACCTCTGCCGTTGCTGACACTCTGTAAACCAAATCACATTTTTACAAAGTATACTTTTATAACTGTTTGCTTTTATCTCTCCAAACCATTTCAGAAGTTTTTTTTTAATCCAATTTCACACTTGTTGTTTTTGCATCAACAGGAAGTAGAAACCCCTTCAGTGAAACATGAGTGCTGCAGGACTGAAAACAGTGAAATCATCCAACGGAAGGTACCAACACTTTTGTAGTTTCTGCTGCTTTCAAGGTAGAAACTGATGGAAAATCTGTTACATGAACCCTCACGTATACAAAGAGCTACAGAACCACACAGGTGTGCAGATCTGCAGGTGAAATACAAACACTGACCATAGCTTGTAAAATAAACACAGCTGATTATAGAAGGTGAGCAGAGAGTATTCCGGTACAATTGAATTTACAAAACTTGTATCATGTATTATGTATTACAAATCTTGTATTTTATTACAAAAAAATTTATAAAATAATAAGTATTGTCTGCATATGACAGGCTGACAATGTGACAATACTAAAGTTGATGAAACGAGATCCTGTTTTGTTGCTTCTGTCAAAACTCTGGCTGCAGCATTTTGGATAACCAGGAAGATCTTTGGGAACTCTTTGGACATCCAGCTAAACCAACACTGCAGTGATCAAGTCTGTAATTTATGAATGCATGTACAAATTTTTCAGTGTCACTTTGAGACAAAATGCTACAGATTTTTTTTTTTTTTTTACAAAGTAGATTTTTGCACAGATGAAAGAAAGACAAATGTATTAAGCAGCTCAGTGTTGACAGATTTCATTAATAAAAAGAGCTTTGTCATCAGCGTAAAAGCAGATATTATTATTTTTATTCTTGGTGATTTTACCTAATATCATGAATATGGAAAATAAAATGAGACCAAGCTAACAACCATGAGGAACACCATAACTGGTTCAAAGAAAAAAATGTTCAGACACTTTCTGTCCTTCACATTTACAGAAACATGTAAAAGTTTAGTCTTTTTCAAAATATGCAACAATGAGCTTGATTTTAATCAATATCTAACCATAAATGGATACATTTTATTCCCATTAGTTTATAAACACTACTTTTGGTTCAGGAACTACTGACCCCTGATGGTAAATGGACTGTACTTATATAGCGCCTTTCTATCTTATTTCAAGATACTCAAAGCACTTTACATGACAATCTGTGTCCTCATTTACCCATTCATACAGCACTCTACTAGATCTCTACAAAGCTAATTGAACAAATCATTCTAATGAGACTAAACAGTGCTTTTAGATCACATTCATACACTGATGGGACACACATCAGAGGCTAAGTCTAAGTTGAATTTCTGGATCCATGTTAGGTGAACCAGCTCTTTGCATTCATGTGATGTTTATTGGATGTTGCTGACAGATCTATATCCTAATCTGAACAGTTAAAGTGTAGTTAGCTGCTGCTCCCTCCATCAGGGCTCAGGACCTCGGACAGCGCTGCATCGCTGCGCCATGGTGGGGAACAGTAAGACAATGGCTGCTTTGATAGCTGGAGGCTGTGCCGTGGATCTGCAGGACCTGGTGAGTCATGAACCGGGCCATCACCTAACGTCCTAACATGAAACCCCGTTAATTGTGGTTGTGGTGCTTTGTGTGTTTGAGGATGGAAACACTGCCCTCCATGAAGTGTCTTGGCATGGATTCTTTCAGTGCGTCAAGCTGCTCATCAGGGCCGGAGCTGACGTTCACATCAAGAACAAGGTAATGGTAAATAAAAGTTTAGCTAAAGCAAAGGATCAAAAGTGAGTCTTAACTATTAGTTCATCTAAATGTAGATTTTTCCCTACATGGGATTTCTGCTGGGACTCATTCCAGCCGCCACCATTTGGCAGAAATGTCAGATGATTCACAAATCTGTCAAATTCCCAAGCACAAAAACATTAGTTTCAGAGACTTTGATCTTGACTCTCATTGAAATACAAGCATCATTAATAAACTAATAACACAAGGTTGAAATTACATCACAATCAGCCTTAATAACAGGGTACTTTTGTACTTTGTACAAAAATGCTACTTTTATTTTGTTTTGAATCTAATTCGATTTTTTAAGATTATTCCATGACAAAAGGGTTTATTGACTTACAATTGCCCCAACTTTGAAAAAGATACCTGCATCAGACTCCATACAAAATCTTCATGAAAAAATTATTCAACCCTAGTTAATGTGAAACCTGTTTGAGTCTTCCACAAGTGGGCAGGTGTTATGGTGTCATAACACAGTGGTAAATGAAGAATTTATTTTATATGAGATAGGCTGTGCCTCGGCTGACACTCTAATTCTAGTCTACCTTAGAAATGTCTGCCTGACTCGGTGCATTAACATCTAAAACCTGATTGAATTAAAATAGTTCACAGTGAACTCTAAATAAAACCAGGCTGTTGAAGTAGAAGATTAGTATCTGATCTCTTACTGTATATCTCACAGAGTTAAACATGATTCTGATTGAACAAATAAACCATAATTACAAAGGAACATGTCTGCTTTAAATAAATCCAACAATGACCTCAGGTGTGCAGACAGACACTGCAAAAATAAATCCAACAATATGGTTTCTTCCTGCAAAACTCCTCGAAATGACTTTAAACTGATTGTCATGTCCATCTTCACCGACTAGGAAATCTGAATTCTTGTGCTCTCAGTTCTCTTTGCTCTGATTGTTGCAGGCAGGAAACACAGCTCTTCACCTGGCGTGTCTGAACGGGCATGCTCAGACGGCTCAGCTTCTGCTGATCGGAGGGTCGAACCCCGACAACAAGAACAAGGTGACCAAAAGGGGTGTCCTTCTAAGTGAGCTGTAAGGCTGTAGGTCAGGAAATATGACTATGACACGTCTCATTACCATGAACATTTGCTGCTTTAAGTTGGGTGACACCTGCCTGCATGTAGCATCTCGCTACAACAACCTGAGCCTGCTGAAGATCCTGCTGAGGTCCCAGTGCAGTGTGTCAGAGACAAACCAGGTGAGAAACATGAGATAAATTAGGTGAGAAACACAGATGAACCAGGTTTGAAACATGACAAACCAAGTGAGAAATATGAGATAAATTAGGTGAGAAACATGAGACAAACCAGGTAAGAAACATGACATGAACCAGATTAGAAACATGAGACAAGCCCAATAAAAAATTAGATCAACCAGACGAGAAACATGGTACAAACCAGGTTAGAAACATAACATAATCTAGGTGAGAAAAATGAGATAAACAATGTGAGCAATGTGAGATGAACCAGGTTAGAAACATGACAAACCAGGTGAAAAACATGACACAATCCAGGTGAGAAACATGAAATAATCTGGGTAAAAAAACAAGAGACAAATCATGTTAAAAACATGAGACAGACCAGGTGAGAAATATGAGACAAACCAGGTGAAAAACATGACATAATCCAGGTGAGAAACATGAAATAATCTGGGTAAAAAAACAAGAGACAAATCATGTTAAAAACATGAGACAAACCAGGTGAAAAACATGACACAATCCAGCTGAGAACCATGAGATGGACCATGTTAGTAATATCAGACAAACCAAGTGAGAAATATGAGACAAACCAGGATAGAAAACCAACAATCCAGGTGGGACTCATGAAATAATCTACTAAGAAACTAGAGATAAATCAGATGAGAAATATGAGACAAACTAGGTAAGAAGAACGAGTTTGACAAGAATCTTTTTGCCTTCAATTCCTACATGTGTTCAGTTTCACTACTTTTTTGTCTGTCTAAACAAATCTCACTTGTAAATGAGTCTTCAAGGCTCAATGAGATTTATCTGTCTAAATAAAGGTTGAATTGAATTGAAAAAAGTAATATGAGACAAAGCAGGTGAGCAACATGAGGCAAACAGGTGAGAAATATGAGAAAAAACAGCTGCATTCAAAACGTTCTTTCAAAAGGACTTAAAAAAACTTAATCATCCTTAATTTTCTTGATTTGCCTGTAGCTTTTGTTCTGCTAAAAGACAATTATTGTCCCTCCTGTGTCCCTGTGACTGCAGGCAGGAGACACAGCTCTGCACGTTGCTGCTGCTCTGAACCATAAAAAAGTTGTTCAGCTCTTACTGGCAGCCGGCGTCGATGGGAGAACCCAAAACAAAGTGGGGTGCACCTCAAAGGTCAGTCTTCGTATTTTTAATTTCTTGGAAATGTGAATCCATCTTTTCTGATATAGTCGGATGGATTAACGTCTCACCAGTGAAGGGTTTTCTCAGAAAGAGAGTTGTCTGAGCACATAAGTTTTCTCTTTCAGACAGAAGAGGCAGCTCTCGATAAAGTCAGAGCCAAGCGAAACAAACAAACGTCTCTTCTCACTAAAGCTCCACAGGTCTGTGTCATCGATGTCCTTCACTGCATTTCAATTTATATAGCTTACAAAAAACAAAGACAGAAGTCACCAGGTGTTTCTGCCCTCAGGTTTGTTACCCGAGAAGAAACTTGAGGAAACACAGAGTGAGAGCCCCACCAGCTAAAGTAAGAAAACAGAACGTTTCAGGGCATTGAGACGGTGTTTTCACCTGGTTTGATGATTGCAGGCGAGCCGCTCTGTGACGAAGGAAGCTTGCAGACAAACTGACCCCAGATCAGCCATCAAGGTGAGTCCTGAGCAGCATCAGCTGGATAATCTGATGAATTTATTAAGACCTTCTTCATCTGTTACTGTTCAGTAGCAGCTTCTGTAACATCTCTGCAGGATTTGTCTGAAAGGAAGGATCACCTCCGACTGCAGAGTTTTTGTGAAGATGGAGACAGAAAGGTCCTTCAGCTCTACACTCTGTACCGAGACAAGGAGGGCAAAGTTCGACAGGTTGTTTCATTTCTCCTTCATTCAGTCGGACATCACTGAAAAGTGTAAATAAATTTAGTGCAGCTTCCGTTTTGGAACAGGAAGTTCAGTTTTGCTCTTGTTAAACAAACAGTACCTGTTCAGGTGGTTGAGCAGCTCCTCTGTAGCAAATCATCTTCATTTCCATTTGTTCGTTTAAAAAGGGACAAGCACAATGATAATTAGAATACAGAAGTAAATACACCAGAGTGAGCAGGATCTCTAACCCTAATGATCCTCAGGAGGGAAGGGAGTGAGATTAATCTGCATTGGAATTAAGCTTGAATAAACAGATAATTTCATGCAGTTTAAAGCTTAGAAATCCATCCAACATTGTTCAGTCAGGTCATCTGGATGGTTTATTTTTTGTTGAGATGTTTCGCCCTTCATTCAAAGGACTTCATCAATCTGAGGAGCCACAAAAAAAATTGAGCATGAACTTTGATGTTTTGAACCACTTTGGCTATGGCTACCTCAGAGGAGTCGACCCCAGAAACCATCTTGTCACCAGTAAACAGGTCAGTCCACCATGTGAGTGCGCTGCTTGTGGGACTCAGTTTGTTTGTGACTCCTCGGACTGATGAAGTCCTTTGGATGAAGGATGAAACGTCTCAACAAAAATAAACCGTACAGATAACCTGACTGAACTTTGTTGGATTTTTTACGTGGATTATTGAGCATGAACTTTGATGATTAGAAATCCAGATTCTCCAGTCCTAAATGGATGAAGCTCCTCAGATGGGAAGCTAAACGTCTTCAGAGAACAGATGTCCAGTTGCTTTGATTTTGCTCATCTAGTAAACCTAGATGAGAGAAAATTACAGCTCTGGTAGATTTCTGTATAAAAAGGTGTTTTGCTCCTCAGGCTGCAGCCAGCAGCTGCCCCTGTGAGCCGCTCCTGAAGAAGGTGAAGGATCAGGTGAAGGCCACAGAGGAGGAGGTGAAGCTGCACATCCTGAACGTCCAGAAGGAGGTCAGCAGACGCCTGGACAGGATGGAGCACAGGACTCGACACCAGGTCCGCATGCAGATCAAAACTGAGTCTGTAGCCATGCCAGTTAAACCTCATGCTTCTTTAAACAGCTCAAAGTGTTGGACCTCCTGAATCAGGAGAGAGCTGCAGCTGAGACGAGGAACCTGATGTTCAGGATGGAGCAGAAAGCTGCACAGGACAGAGCTGAAGCCCTGAGGAGTCAGGTATCATCACACCTGACTGTCCCTGATTTAATGTGGACTGCGTCTTGTTTTAACAACATGAGCACGTTAAATCTTTCAGATGTTCTAGGTGTCATGCACCATGCTGTCATGTTCAGCAGATGTCTGTTTCCATCTTCAGGCTGCAGCGAGACACGAGCTGAAGAGCTGGTGTCTGTCCCTGCTGGAGGACAAAGACATCCACGTCCCAGCTCAGATCCGGTACCACAAGCTGCTGCTGGAGACGTCTGCAGAACCAGATGTGTTATCTCCAGACAGTAGTGCTTCCCTCTCCACCAACAACTTAAGGTCCAGATGTGTGGAGCAGATGAGGAGCAGAACTTACTTTGAGATGAAGGAGGACAGAAGTTCAGGTGCATCAGAGAGCATTAAGATGAGAGCACGAGACGTCAGTGACATGATGGTTCTGCAATTAAAACGTTGTTTTCATGTTACATTTCAATATTTTAATAATATAAAGATCTGCGGTGCTGTAATTCCCCCCGAAACAGATCAGAACCAGAACCCCACAGCTCCTGCAGAAGGCCCCTCAGGACTCCTGCAGATCTCTGCTGCCCCCTCCTGGCACCCTGAAGCACTGCAGGACAGTCTGAGTCATGGCCTCCAGCAGGAGTCCACTGAAGGTCCCACGGCCCTGGAGTTCATCACAGATCCACCTGCTGGATCTGAGCCCACACTCATCCAGGAGAGGAATCACCAGCGAGCCATGGAGGTGAGCACAGCCAGATGTTTCCTCCTGATCAAAGACTCTGACCTAACTACCTGTTTGGTTGCTTGTGACCTTTCAACAGGCGACTCGACATTTCTTTGACGTTGTAACTTCTCAGTTGGAGCGTTGGTGCTACAGGAGGATCCTGGACGTGGAGCAGCAGTCGGAGCTCAGGGCTCAGGTCGACCGGAAGGAGCTCCTGCAGCGAATCGCAGAGCTGGAGGAGGAACTCCACAGGCTGAGGACCAGAGAGATGAGAACAACTGAGCTACCAAGGGACATAAGTTGAAGAGTCTTGTTGTGTCATAATGTCTGTGAGGTGTTTAAGGTCACATCATAAAAATAAGCTCAGTTTCCATGAACTGAACCGATTCTTCAAGTCCTGGCTTCCATTTCCAGAGATCTTATCACAAACGCACCAAACTGCAACATCCTTATCATTTCTTTCAGGTTTCTCACAAATGTGGAAGTTAAACTCGTTTGTTTGTTTGTAAGAACTGATCAGCAGCTGCACATCTTGAATTTGTTTTACGAAGGGAAAACTAAAGGATGATTCTGATGTGTAAATGTTAATATTAAAACTTGTATCATCTAACTTTATTTTTATTGTTAAATTACTAGAATCAGTAGTGGAGAAGCAGTGGATGACAGAAAGGTCATGGTCCATTTTAATTTTATTTATTTTACATTCGTTGTGAAAATGCAAGATTATTTTCTACAGACCGTTGCAGCTTTGTATGTTCTGTGATAAGATTAATAATTTGGAATTTTATTCCGTTGCTTGTTTCTTTTGTAATCCTGAGCCAGACAAACCTAATGTTTCCCTCAATCTAACCTAATCTTTCCTTAATCCATAGCTTGATGTATTTCTAACTTGATATTTTCCTAAACATAACTAACTTCACATTTTTAGGAACATATAAATATTTTTCCTAAACATAACCAAATGTTTTTTGGTCAAACTGAACGTTAACAATAAAATAAGTTTTATCTGTAAGAGATTGTTTTTGTTTTCACTCCTATATTCTTTATTTGTTACAGAGAGGTTAAGAAGTGCAGCAGAACTTCCATTGTTTTTACATTTTGAGACAAACGTTTATCAAAGTAAGATTTTTAAGGCATGAACATGTAGCTGAGCATGGTGAACTTATCTGCAAAACTGACCAGGTGTGTCAAAACGCTCGTTCACCTGCAGATTGATCTCCTCTGGCCTGGTTAAAATGCAGATAATCAAAAAGTGTTCAAACTAATGTGATAACACACCTGAAGCTTGCGAGTGGAGTGTTCTGTTAACAGCTGGATTAAAGATGCAGGTTAATTTGATCAATCATCCTTGTAAGCATCAAAACCAAATCAGGAAGAATTTATACTAAAAACAAAAAAAAATATCTGAGTGGTTCTTGTTTTTAGCTTGTTAGTGACACCTGCTGGTCAGGATGGAAACTGCAACAGGTAAACATTTTTAAATAGCTTTATTTAGAGAGACAGTTCGATTCATTTCAGGTTAAGTCTTACAAATGCAATAGATAAACAATAAACAAAGAGCCATGGATTAGAAATAACAATCAGAAAGAACTTGAAGAACATATATTTTAAATTTTGTTTGTTTGTTTGTTTTTTGCTTGCTTGCTTTTTGTTTTGGGAACACTGGATAGTTTTAAAATACTGTTTTGTTTCATCTATAAAACACTAGGATATAAATTAGGAAAAACAAGACTTGTTAGCTGACTATGTGTTAAAAAAAGTATTTTGTCATGGAATAAAGCAAAATCAGAACAATTGAAAAATAAACTAAAGAAAGAGACAATAATGAACAGAATCACAATAAATAAATAAAAAAATATTTCACAAGATTACATTTGGGACTCATTATTGTCTTTTATTATTATTATTATTCTTTTGGACGTGTGTTGAGGGAGGAATTGGTGTGCACTTGTTGGAATAAACCGTTTTTTAGTTAAATTGAGTGGAATATCAAGACTCAAATCATTTTTTTAATGTTTTTGGAGCACAAAGTGAGGATAAAAACAACCATCCCCTAGAGTTAATTTCATTCTTTTAAGAAAATATTGTTTATTATTATTTAGCTGCAGCCACTGAAGCATTACTTAGCATTTTGCTGTTTTTTGTGAATAGATTGTTTTTAAAAGATCTGGGTTTTTACCTGAGTCTTGCAGAGATGCATCATGCACCTGTTACCTGAGGTGGTTCTCCTCTCATCTTCATATGTTAGAATCTGTACATTATAAAACACAAACTTTGCTTCAAACTAACTCATTAAATCTTTTCTTCATTATAAATAAATATTTATATAAAATTTAAAAAAATTAATTAGATTAGCAGAAATAGAATGTTTACAGCCAAACAGAAGACTGTGCATGTTTCATGGGTTGATGATGTAAAGCAGCATGTGGGCGGGGCGTGTTTCGGGTGGGCGGGGCTCTGGTTGTGTAACCCAATGATCCTGATGTAACATCTGGTATTTGGCCTCAGCGACCACACAGCAGCTTCTGAAGGGAAAATCAAATCAATGCTGCATCGATTTCATGGGGGCGTGATGGAAACCTAATTAAAGGCCCTGCAGCCACAGCTGGTCGCTTCACACATCTCCAACCAGGGCCCGTGAATAAGTAAAACTCCAGTTTTGTTTTAAGGAAACAAAAGACACTGCTGATGCAGAGAGTCCAAAATACACAAAGCCAGAATCACTGACAACTGGAAAGACGATCGCTGTAATTTAGAAAGTGAAGAAAACAAGGCAACGTGAAAACATCAGCAGCTGGAAACCAGTCTGTTTATACAAGCCAGGTATGATGATGATTGGTAAATATAGACAAGGTGGTCAGGTGGACACCTGAGACACCTGGGGAAAACTCAGACAACCAGAGAAGAAACTAAGTAATAAAACAAGAAACTGAAAACCTTGATAATAAGGACCAGAAATAAAACACATAAAAACATCACAGACTAACAACAATGATCCTTGGACCAGTTCTGACCTCTTCAGACTGGAATGGTCCCAGTGGAGCGGTGTACTGGCCAAGCTATCGTTTTAAAGTCGTTCAAATCCTCAACCTTAACGTCATCCCCCAGCACTTTCCAGGACAGAAAGCTCACTTGCTGTCTGATAGATCCCACCTACTGATAGTCACCATGGTAACCATGTTAATGACCTGTGAGTGGTCATAATTTTATGGCTCATAACACTTGGTTTCAGATAAGACAAACTGAAATTATTGGCGTCACATTGCCGAGACTGTGAGGTTGTTCCTGGTTTGTTGGGTTAACTGACAAAAGACGTGTAATTAACCTTTTCACGTGCCAGAATGAACCTTCTGGAAGAGTTTTATCTGGACACAGAACCCTAAAGTGCAGGTCTGAGGTCTCCAGAGTCTGAGGTCTCCTGGGTCTAAGCGAACAAACATTCTGCTCTGTCTCTGAGGCCCGTATTGACGGTCCTGGCTGGAGTTTGGCTCTCCTGGCATGGGTTGATGGAGCGAGGTGGGGGGGCAGTGTCCCAGCAGGAGCTGATCAATGTTCACATCCTGTGAACCCTGCATGTAACGCAGCAGAGCGTTCCCGACACACAGACACACACACCAACACAGCAGAGGGACGAGGACGGCCCAATGGGATCCGAATAGAAACCAGGACGTCTAAACAAAACGTCTCCATGGGGTAAAAACGAGGAGACGCCGTGGTCGCTCATGATTCATCAACATGACGGCGTGCACGCTGAGGCCCAGAGGGACGGCCAACCTGTGACATATAAGGTGATGCTTGCATGTTTTTTATGTCACGGATGAGTGTGAATCTTTTAGTTCATGTGCAAAGTAAAAACACAAGGACGCAGGAGATCTGACGAAGGTTGTCAAGATTTTTTTTCTCAATCAGCAGCTTCACCGTTAAACTATTGACCCTGTCATACTCTTTCCAAACAAACCCCACACTACGGTGGCCCTGAGGGCCAAAACGCATCAGCAATAAACACAACAGCAATATACACACAACAAAACTCAAAAATTCTTTATGATTATGTTCTCATCTGACATCTCTGAAGCTCTGGTTTTGTGGAGAAACTGGGCTTGATTCTAAAGTTGTACATGAGATTATGTTGATTTCTCCACGTGTATGTTCTTGGCACACAACTTCATGGAGGCCTGGATCGTGTCCAAACTGAAGCTGCAGATTGTACAACATCCAGCCGATGCCCAGAAGAAATCAGATGCTTTAACATTTCTTTACAACCATAGCTTTGGTTATCTGCGATGGTTTTATAAAAACTATCTCTGGGGGATTCTGTGCCGTGGCTTTCCTGAGCAGATCAGTACAACTGTGTCCAAAGTGATGGTCTTCATCCTGGTATTACACAAAGACCAGACTGGTCGGACGAAGATAAAATTAATATTGTCTTGAATCAGATGCAAACAAAAACAACTTTGCCACCACAAGCCACCATCATCAAACCCATCCATCCGTTATCTTTTACCCACTTCTTCTTTTCTGGGTCACGGGGGTCACTTGTGCCCATGTCCAGGAGCGGGTCCAGCAGTCAATGTGCGAAAGACGGGGACAGGTCACAAGTCCATCACAGGGACACAAGAGACAAACGAGACAAAAAAAAAACTTTCACTCTCTCACTCACACCTAGGGACAATTTAGAGGCTAACATGCATGTTTTTGATCTGTGGGAGGAAACCGGAGTACCCGGAGAAAACATGCGCATGCACAGAGAGCTCCACCCAGAAAGGCCCCCGGCCGGGATTCGATCCAATAGCCTTCTCGCTGAGGGGCGACAGTTGTGCTAGCTGCGCCACCATGCCACCCTATCATCAAAACACAAAATTTAATGAAATAAACTTTCTAAAACAAATTAACACAAGTAAACTTAATTTATGTTGCCACTATTTAAGAAATGTATCTATTGGATGATCTGAAGAAACTGGTTCAAGCTCTCAGGACAAAGACGAGGTCCCATG